AGAAGAATTTCATTTAGATATCACATTGAACAAAACTGATGTTTTACTTGGTAAATATTACAAATATTTCAACATTTTTAATGTGTTAATATGTATAGCAAAAAGGCATATTTATAGAAAAGGAGTAAAAAAGAACTACCATCCCTAATGGGAATTAAATCTGAAATATTGTATTATTAAAAATGTGAAAAATTCACTTATACAAAAAATTGTGAACTAGACAATTTAATAGAAGATGGGCATGGCTCTCCATAGGTAATGACTCAGATACCTAAGTATATTTCCCCTACAACATTATTTGTTACAAAACAATGAATCCTATACTTTTGTTTATCTGAATTATTCTTATACAATGATATATGCATATGCACGCAGCTGAGTGAATGGAGTATGAAATGTGTATGTAAAAATAACCTCATGTTACATTAATGTATATGTAAAAACTACTTTGTTAAATTAACTTATAGATTCCAAGGCTCCGCAACCTTGGCTATAAGGACACACACATATACATGTACTGGGGTAATAAAAAAATATTTTTAGAAAAAATTATTTCAATAGTGCTTGTATTTCAATAGTGGTTGAAACGTATGGTTATCATATTGAAATGTACTTTCATCCAGCATTGATGTAATTACCGGCATTTCAATAGTGGTCATATTTAAATAGTGGTTACTAACTATGTTTGCTATTGAAATGCACTCTCAACCACTTTTGATATAATTTTTACAATAGTGGTTGTTTTTTCCATGGTTGCAACACTAGGGTAGTATAGATTCTAAACTGTTCATATCATGATCCCCGTGGGTTGGGCTGCTGGCCGCAATAGGGAATCTTAATTTTACATACCCGGTAGTTATATATAGGGAAAAACTTTTAAAATCTTTTTTTCAAGTACCTTTTGGCAAGAAAGGCTGAAACTTGTGTGGAAGCATCCTAGGGTAGTGTATATTCTAAATTGTTCAAATCATGACCCCCGGGGGTTGGGCGGGGCCACACTATGGAATCAAAACTTTACACAGAAATATGTAGGAAAAAACTATGAAAATCTTCTCCTCAAGAACCACTGGGCATGAAAAGCTGAAACTTACTGGGAAACATCCCGGGGTATTATAGATTCTAAACTGTTCAAATAATGACCACCTGGGTTGGGCAGGGCCACAATATGGAATCAAAGTTTTACAGAGAAATACATAGGTAAAACTCTTCTTCTCAAGAACCAGTTTGCCAGAAAAACTGAAACTTATGTTAAAGCAATCTGGCATATTGTAGATTCTAAATTGTTCAAATCATGACCACTGGAGGTAGGGAAGGGCCACAATAGGGAACCTAAGCTTTACATTGTAGTGAAAATCTTTAAAAAACTTCATCTTGGGAACTACTGGGCTAGAAAAACTGAAACTAATGTGAAAGCATTGTGGGGTACTGCAGATCTGATATTGTCTAATTTATGACAATTTGGGGGGGGGGGGGGGGGGGGGGGTTAGGAATGGGCCACAAAAGGTATTGCAAGTGGAAATTCGGGCAAAAAAAACAGCATGGTTATAGCTATTCAGTTGAACTATGTGGTCCATGGGCCTCTTGTGATTTAGTTTCATATAAATTGTTAGACCTACTTTTTTGTTTAATTTCTTAAACACTAAAAAAGATATATATTACGATAATTCCGTATGTACTAGGACTGCACTGGGATTACACAAGCACTATTGTACAGCATACTGTTAGTTGAGAAATATCAGCTGAATAAAGAATCCCACAGAATCATAAGGGACAAAATGAGAGACAGATATTTCACTTATATTACGGGGGAGTGTTATGTAGACCTCCCTAAAGAAATCACAGACACACATGAGGGTATTATTGATATAAAAATTTGCAGATCTCCACCGGCAAGTGGTGATGTCTGCATTAGCTGCAGAACTGTAGCTATATGCTTGTGAAAATTCGGACAGATAAAGCTCTTTGGTTTATCTGTATGAATTTTCTCAAGCAGAGAGCTACAGTTCTGCAGCTAAATCTCCATATGAGTAAAAAATTCTCGAAGGGGCCGTAAACCAACATACATTGTACAATGAAATCTCTAATCCAAATTTATTGATGTCATTTTTATTCTTTTTTTAACTTTATTCTCTTTTCAGGTGAATGTCATAACTATTCGCCGGAAATTCGGTATCTATTATATTGCTTATTGTTTTCTGAGAAATATCAGCTGAATCTGAATGAACAATCATGCAGGGATACAAGATACAACATCAGAGACAGATATTTCCCTGATCTTTCTAATGACAGTTCAGTAGATCTTCCTGATGGAATCACAGAAACACGTGACGGTGTGATAACGTTTATATCAGACGACATCCGACATGACGTCATGTACGCCTTTGTTACGGAGTGTCTGTTGGAGGACAGTGACCTGGAGTTTTTCCTGACCACAGCGTCACGTGACGTGATCTCAGAATACTGCCGGTCCTGGGATTATGAGAGGAGTGAGGGAGAGAGATGTTTGTATATACCGGAGAGACCAAAGAAGATGTACGACCTCTTTTTAGACAAACTACAGCTGGACATCATCACACACTGTACCGTGTCTGACAAAAGGATTAAGTTCAAGATCAGTGAACGTTGTGGGTATTATTGATATAAAATTATCATTTTTAATAGAAGCGTTTCTTTATATTTCTGCTGTTTATGAATTAAGTCTTTTATTTGCATAATTTAAGTTAGAGGACATACCTGTTTGTAAGCAAGTAAATCTCTTATCCTGTCTATAAACGTGTTATGTTATCAACACATTAAAATACAACAAAATGTAGGATAGGTAAATTTCAGCATTTTACTTTTTGGGGTATGTACTCCGATAGTCATTAGCGGAAAAGTAAACATGTTGACATATAATTTTTCTTGTGTCTTTCCATTGCTGGGATGTATATCTAACTTATAAAAGCAGATTTTTAAGATTGAGCCCATTTAGCGCCAAGTGTAGAACTACCTTAATACAATTTGAAATTATTTAAGGACAAATTATACAAACATAAAATCGATGTCTGGATGGGTATATATTTTTGGACCTAATTTGATTGTAAATGATGGAAGTAATTATAGCCCTGTTCTGAAGGAGAGGGGGGTATACTGTTATACCATTGTGTCTGTCTAGCTGTCCGTGTGTCTGTCTGTAACAATTTTTCGTCACAGTTTTCTCAGCAACTACTCATTGCAGATACTTGAAATTTTAATACAACCTTCTCTGAGGCATGCCATATGGTGGGATACATTTCTAGTAAAATCTAGTAAAATCCTATGTCTACTTCCTGTTTGTCTGTGCGTCTGTTCATTTCATACATAACAGATTTTTGTCGCAGTTTTCTCAGCAACTACTCATCACAGATGCTTGAGATTTTCTCTGAGGCATGCCATATGGTGGGATACATCTTTGGTCATATCGATGTCAACTTCCTGTTTGTCTGTGTGTCTGTCTGTTTCATACATAACAGATTTTCGTGGCATTTTTCTCAGCAACTACTCATCGCAGATGGGTACAGTCCACTAATTGTTTTCCCATAGGCGACAATGTTAACGTTTCTTCTCATAGCGATGTCCCTAATTTTCGTTCGGTAGTGAGTGACCCCTCAAATCAAAGCACATCAACTTGTCTTTCCTTGGTTAAAATCTCGAGGTGGCATGTCAGATTCGTTTTCCGGCAAAATGAGTCTGTCTGCGGGAACCTCTAAAAATGAAAGTGAAAGTAGGGGAATTTCAGAATTCTCACTGGCGTTATAAAACACAAAATAATTCGGCTGATCTTCTTGATAAATTACATTTTCAAAGCTTTTTTGGTAGGAAAGATACTCCTTATCAACAAGTGTGAGGCTCAGTTCAGTACACCTGCCCAATTTTTTTTAGGCAAGTCTGCAATTTAAGGAACTTGTAATTTTTTCTGCACTACTTTCTTCTCCTACCGATTCTAAAAATAATTAGTGGGATGTACCCAATATGAAAAAGCATTTTTTTGATTTTACAATATTTCACACTGTTTGTCAATCTAGAGCATAAGTAGAGACATCAGGCCAAGTTTCATGAAAATTCAACAATTAATTAAGATTTTACAGCATTTACAGTTCTATGTGTAATATCCTTAAAAAATGCTCCAATCTAGCCAAAACTGCACCCAAGTTTTGAGTCAAATTTTAGCCTATTAACACATTTATACCATTCTTAATCACCTTCATATCTTTAAATACATATAGTCAAATCATAATCAAGCACTTAATTGGGTCAATTTCACTTATTTTAAAAAATTAATGTATTTCCGCACAAAATATGACCACTTTTCACCCTCTAATTCATAGTTTCTCCAGAAATGACAAAAAAATGAAGTTCACAAATACCCCGAAAGTAGTAAAATAAAAAAGTACTTATTATTTCCTGTCCATTGATGTATCATTCATGAAATTTGGACTATTAATGAAAAAGTTATAAGCCTTTATAATCCTATATAGAATCATTTGTTTCAAAGCAATTTTTATACCAATGCAAATTTACTCATCTATGACGTCACAATGACATCATAATAATGGATAGCTCAATACTTGTGTATCATTACTTTTCCCGTACTTTTTATTTAAGACAAAATCAGTGCTTATATACTATTATTTACTTTAAAAAATAAAAATATGTGGTGTTGCAGATTAAATAAATAGTTCACTAAAGTTGTTTTGTTTCCATGGTAACCATTTTGTAATTTGTAGGAAAATGAGACAAAATTTTGAATTTCCTGACAAATCGCATAATTTTGACTGTCAACTATTCATGAAATTTCAATTCTTATATCCGTGTAATCTTAATAATGCATAATTTACAAAACAAAGATGTAGATCTAATCATTTGAAAATCTTAAATAAGAAAAGAAAATCTATATGAGCTGCAAAATGTATATAGCAGTGCATGTACAGATTAGTTATAACTAAATACTTTCACATTCTGATCACCTATTTAATATGTAAATTTCCTCACCCCCACCCCATTCCCCACTTTAATGAAATTTTTTTTTAGAAAACTTAAACTTACATATTTTGCCGACTGTCACATTTTGCTGGTTCTTTTTCAAGATGTATTCAAATGGGTGTGCATTTGCTGGCCAATAGTTTTAAACACCATCTGCATGGACCTCATGTTTTTCCTGTACCAATCACCATAAACCTAAAAAAAAAATCAATACAATAAATGGTACAATATCACATTTGCAGACAGACAGACACACAGACATTCAACACGTACAATTTTTACCATATTCCTTTTATGCCCATTACTTGAAATTAATTAATTTAAAAAATGATTAATTTGCTCCCACCTGAAATCACACTGTTTACATTGGTAATTAAGTTAATTCAGCAGAATTATATAGGTAAAAATCATGTTTTACTGACAATAATTGAACATTCAACAAAACATGTAATGCAATTGCTAAAAATATGAGAAAAATCAGTTAATGTGCATGTTCACACACATCGTTTAACTCCCAGACAACTGTACTCAGCTTGACCGCGCAACTGATCTGAAATGATGTATGTCAAGTATGCATATGTGACGCGCCGATCATCGACATGTTCCAAAAACATTAAATTGTTATTTACAAATATTGTACTAGGGTATACCTCTTACCTCCTGTGTAAAATACAAATGCCCATCACCTATATATACTGCTTAACACTGCCCTGAACAGTTTTTAGTCAGCCCGCGGGCTGACTAGTTATGGTACGAAGAACTTCCAATGCGCTTGCGTGGCTTGGAATTCTGGGAGTGGTTCTGCAGTAAATCACGCCTGCTAATTTTATTTCAGTAAAATCAATATAGATTGTAAACCAACAAATCCCTATTAAACACCAAAGTAATCTGTAAATTTAACTCAAAAAGGAATTTCCCGATGCTTATTTTTGTATAGAAGGTTTCAAACAGTTAACTGGTTCGCAGTAATTTAACTGGTTCGCACATAATCATGTGTTCTACGCAGCGAAGCATACAGTTCCTACTGTTGGATGAATTTAGTGTTTGACGAGTAAATTGAAGCTCTTTTATAAAATATATTGAAAGTATTTTTACTTATGTATTTAAATCTACAGCACAAACATTGGGTTATTACATATTTTTAGCTTTTCAGTTTTTACTGCTTTTACTTTCGTTTTCACTACAAATCATTTCGATCCCGATGCTAAATAATGGACAGACTTGTTAAGTCATACAACAGATACTTCGGAAAGAAAACACAACTGGCTAAGCTTGCTCGTTTGTTGCCCCCCGCTGAAATTAGAGAATATCAATTTCAGTCTGTCTGTCCGTCCATCTGTAGTTCTGTCTGTCTGTAACACTTTCACTTCCCGGCAGCGAGCTATTGCAGTGAAATTTTACACAACTGTTAACACCTTATATGGCCTTTGGAAGACCCTCTTGATTTTGAGGTCAAAGGTCAAGGTATTAAATTTAGAAATTCTGTCTGTTTAAACACTTGTTTTCGCGCGATATCTCTGTAAGCCATTGAGCTTTTGCAATGAAATTTTATACCACAACTCCCTATGGCCATATATATGGCGTAAGGAACACCCCTGTGTATTTTGAGGTTCAAACGTCAGTGTCATAAATTCATACTTCTGTGTGACTCTGTGTAAAACTTTCATTTCCAGTATCAAATGTCATAAACCATAAAAGGCTCCCTATGGCTCCGCCCTGGACCCCCACCCCCCCACCCCCGATCTGCGCATGCTTTTTTTTTTTTATCCGTAAATTGGCTTGCTTTTCATAAACTACGACCTGATAATCTAGGTTGTGGCAATCATATTTATGAATTAATAGGTTTATTATATTATAAGAGGTCTGATAAATGAATTTGTAGGTCTTAGTAATGTTTGCTTTATTTCAATTCTACTTTTTATGAAACAATTTAATCCAAAATTCAGCTAGTTACTAGTAAGTCAAATGACGAGTCGATAGTTAATAAACTAAAAAAAAAGCTTCTAGGCTATACCGTCAAAGCTTACATGTTACCTGTTTGAATGAACAATAAATGTTTATTTTTTTTATTCTAAAATGTACAAGAAAATGTACTAGGTATTTCAATAATCCTTTATTTGTATTCTCAAACGAAGGTTCAGTATGGCTGTTTAAGTATCGCAGGGACAAGGGTGTTTCCTTTTTCTAAACACATAGCCAAGAGAGATTCAACCGGCGGCATGATAAACTCTAACAAGGATGATAGTGAAGCTTATTGGGCTCCGTTTTGTTAAAAATGGCATAATGTTCATATATCCCCCTCCCCCTAAAATCTTATAGATCTGATAATGAGAGTGTAGGTTTATAACTTCTTTGATTAATGTTACGTGAATTGGGATTTAAATGTTTATACATACTTTCCGTTCTTTTGATTTTGAGACGAAAAATGCAAGAATCTGCATGTACCAACGTTTCTGTTCCTATGCAGAAAAATATTAAGACGAGGTTTTAATTCTAGTGGCCAACTCTGCTACTGATTAAAATTTTGTTGAAGGCATTTTTTTAAACATTATCACAGAGAAGAAAAATCCACTGGCTGACTCTCTAAGCTTTTTTTAAAAGCTAAACTTGTGATAACTTTCTGCTAAGTCTACTTTCACTTCGACCTTGACCCCTATTGAATACCGATCCCGAACTCATTTGTTATTTTTGTGTATTTAAAATAAACCACAGTGGAGCATGTACTTCTACATAATTGCTTATTAATAAAATTATAAATTTATGATTCTGAATAAATAAATTATATAAATCAATACATTTAATCTACAAGATACATGTGTAAACAATGGGTGATACATGTTGACTGTTCCGGGGGGGGGGGGGGGGGCTAGACATTTATTTATGAATCAATTTGTTTAAAAATGTGTATCAACAATATAAGAATTGTTTTTTTCATAAATTTGAACAATTGAAAATAATAGAAAACAACAACTTTGAAATAAATTCAAGATTTATGACATCTTTCACTTACTTATAGGCTTCCTAATATGGGTACAGTCCACTAATTGTTTTCCCATAGGCGACAATGTTAACGTTTCTTCTCATAGCGATGTCCCTAATTTTCGTTCGGTAGTGAGTGACCCCTCAAATCAAAGCACATCAACTTGTCTTTCCTTGGTTAAAATCTCGAGATGGCATGTCAGATTCGTTTTCCGGCAAAATGAGTCTGTCTGCGGGAACCTTAAAAATGAAAGTGAAAGTAGGGGAATTTCAGAATTCTCACTGGCGTTATAATACACAAAATAATTCGGCTGATCTTCTTGATAAATTACATTTTCAAAGCTTTTTTGGTAGGAAAGATACTCCTTATCAACAAGTGTGAGGCTCAGTTCAGTACACCTGCCCAATTTTTTTTAGGCAAGTCTGCAATTTAAGGAACTTGTAATTTTTTCTGCACTACTTTCTTCTCCTACCGATTCTAAAAATAATTAGTGGGATGTACCCAGATGCTTGAAATTTTAAGACAATTTTCTCTGAGGCATGCCATATAGTGGGGTACATTTTTGGTCAAATACGATGTCAACTTCTTGTTTGTCTGTGCATCTGTCCATTTCATACATAAATTTTTGTCGCAGTTTTCTCATCAACTAATCATAGAAGATGCTTTATATTTTAGTACACTTGTTGTTGAGGCATGACATATGGTGGGATTAATTTGATATGAACATGATTTCAATTTTATATTTATACCCCCGTAAACGAAGTTTAGGGGGTATATCGGAATCACCATGTCCGTCTGTCTGTCTAGCTGTCCATCCGTCTGTAGACAAGATTTTGTCCGGACCGTTTCTCAGACACTGTTGAATGGATTTGTCTGAAAATTTATACACTTATTATTCACCATATGAAGGTGTGCACCTGGGATTTTCATCATGATTGGATGATTTTTCTGCATTTTACAGGCGTTTTTTTGTTTTTATTTTGTGATTTTGTTTGGCTCATAACTAGAAAACTATTAGACTTACAATCATCAAACTTAAACAATTTATGCATCTTGGGTAGAAGGTGTGTCATGACCTATTTCAAGGTCACTGTGACCTTTAATTTAAGTGATTTTTTTTTTTTAAAAACTAAGTCTTTAAAATTTTAAAATTTCATAGTCCTAAAAAATGTAAAAATATAGTTGTATCCTTATCAAAAAATACTAAATTAAGTAAAAACTTATTTTTTCATCATATATGAGAGGAATTCAGTTTGTCTCATGGGCATAATTATCAAGCACTGGTCAAGGAGAACTTTTGATAGCAGAAATGTGTATGTCAAATTAGAGAGAAATTAATGAGTTCCTTGTCGGGAGTTAACCAGCAAGAGAATCTCTATCTTAATTTATCTCTTGGGAGTTGGGCAAAAAGAAATGGCCTTATAGTTGCTTGTGTTAAGGTTCATTGATACTCTGATAAGAGACATAACTCTACAGATAAGAAAGATAACTTTCTGCAGACATTTTGTCATGAAATTCAGTATTTTGTCATGCCATAGTTTACAAATCTCTATCATATGGACCATTTTATTGTTAACTCAAGCAAACCTATCCCACGGTTCAGAGGTTCATTTTTAGTTTTATTGCTAGTATATTCAAAAATTATTTTGAATAGTTTCCTAAAACATTTACACTCCGTTCCGTTAAACGGTGTAAACTGATAAAAAAAATCTATTTCTAAACGTGAAAGTCTTTTAATTGTACAGAAATAAAAGCCGCAGAATTGTTTATAAACATAAAATTAATATTTTATTTCATTAAAAAAGAATTTCAAGGGCGATAATGGAAAGATAACTCTTGCTTATGGATGCATTTAATTTTACATGCACAGAAAACAATTTGATATTCTGATTTAAAAAGCATCGCTCCAGTATGTTTTCTATAGGGAATTAGATAGGTATGAGAGTAAATATTATTTTCATATTTACCTCATCTTTCTAATTTAATTATGAGATTAAAAATAATTGATCTTTCTAATGACCATATCAAATTTTCTTCAAATCATGATTTGACATATCATTTATTTCTGAAAAAGTAAGCAACGCTTCATACTTCAAACTATTTTGTATTTGAATTGAATGTTATAGTTGTTGTTGAAAATCAATGTTTGGAATTTTAAAAAAAAGTCGTGAAATGTGGAGCAGAGGGATATTGTCCCTTAATTAAGAGTTCTTGATGGCTGTAGTCCAGATAAAGATCTTTCAATTGGTGTAATGTAATTAAAACAAATTGATGTTTTAGTGTATGTTTAAAACTGAATTAGTATTGTATAATATAATTAAAATTAATTATACATGTGTTCATTGAAAAAAAAATTACATTTCAATTTTTATATATTTGCAACAAATTGCAGTCATGTCTCACTTAGAATTTTATAGTCTAAAGAATAATTAATTTTTGATTTTTTTTTTATTAGACTGTAGCATTTCCATTATTTCATAAAATATGCAATAAACAATTTAAAGCTGCAGATGGATATTTGTTTAGCTCTAACACAGCCAGTTTAGAATTATATGATGTATTATTTGTTTTAATTAATCCTTACACTGTAAGTCTATTAGAGATGTATGTACAATATTTTAAACATGATTAGAAATGGAAATTAGATTATTGAAATCTGTGTCAATCTGTTAATCAAGGTTATCAAAAAATAATACAGAAAAGTATATTTTTAATATACTTTTAATACATTCATTTCTGTACTTTCTTAAAATAATACAGAAAAAATATATTATTTTCCTATCACAAAAAAATGGGTATATTATTTTTGTATTAAAATCTGACTTTGATATTTTGCAGTGTATTATTTTTGTATTTTTTTGAACTTAGATTATTTTCAGTGTATTATTTTTGTATTTTTAAGGACTTAGTTTTTTCCAACTGTATTTTTTCTGTATCAATTTTGAACTTAGTAATTTTACAGTAAAATCTCTACAGCTAGAGTGTATCATATTTGTATTAAATTTGGACTTAGTAATTTAACAGAAAGTTTGACTGTATTATTTTTATATTAAATTTGGACTTTTTGATTTTACAGAATTTGTCTGATTATTATTTTTGGATTATTTTTATATTAAATTTGGACTTTGTAACTTTTCAGAAAAGTCCCTACATTTAGACTATATTATTTTTGTATTAAATTTGGACTTGGTAATTTTACAGGAAGATGGTCAGTATTTTTTTTTTATTTTGTATCAAATTTGATTTTAGTACATTTACAGAAAATTCCATAGTTAGTCTGTATATTTTGTTTGTTTTTTTTTTTTTCTTTGGGGAGGGGGGGGGGGGTAGGTTAAATTAATATTGTATTTATGAACTTTATAAATTTTAGAGAAATTCCTTGCAAATATTCTGCTGGTTTTAGATACCGGTACTAGTTTGTAGCATTTTAGAACATTTCTTTTTTTTTTTTTTTATTTATTTTTTTAAAAGGTATCTTGGTATCCAAATCGAACTTAAAAATTAATTGGTACTAAAATTTTTGTTAATTCCATTCAGTTATATCAATGGTAATCTAAAGAAATGTCTCCATATTCAGCTGATTAAGTTGAAGATTTTACAGAGGGTTTACATTTTTACAGCGGGTTTACATCCAATCTCGTGCAGCAGGTGGCCTTGCAGGCTTACAAATGATTGCATCATACTACAATGTAGAAATCACGTGATTTACCTGTGCACATGGAAAGTCCCAACTATCAGTATTTCTGTACATACGATGTTTCTTCAGATTTGAGATATTTTGCAGTAATGAATGACAATTATATTTTAAATTAGCCTTAATGAATTTTTTGAAACGGTCTTACAATGTACAAGTGTAGAAATGGTCGTAAAATCAGTAGATTTACTACCGTAATTGGCTGAAGCCAATGTTGTGTACACGTGCGCTTGTCACTTGATGATTATCTCTCCACACCCCTTCAGGCAATTAAATTGTGTACCGACTCCAAAGCATTGTTTTTACAGTAATGGGGCTAATTATTTGCTGTTCTTTTAATTGCTTGAATTATTTTCTTTCTTAAAAATCGGGGATCAGTTTAGAATCTTTCGTATTGTGTTGATTATGACACATTGAACACTTGTTAAGTGTAATTTTACCTTATCTTATACTTATCGGCCTCTTGTTTAAATAATTGAGAGTTAACAAATGAAATACTAAGTATGTTAAAACAATATCACAATTACTTTGCTGAAATAAAATTAACTTAAGTATATGGCGACGTAATATATCAAAATCTGTGTATTGTACAAAAAAAAAAAATAATAAACTCTTCTTCGCAACATTATCATGATTATCTTACGTAATTAATACAGTGCATTTAGGATTATTTACTGAAGACATACATGGCTGATGCCTAGTTCTATTTTGGATAATTTCTGAAAATGCTTGTAATAAATATAACTGACGATTTCTATTTCACCGCGACTGTAAAGCTGCAAATATGTTTGTATATTCCCCGCGTTATATGATCCTAATTGTTGAACTTTATGGTCTATTTTCAGGTCAACTTGAATAATTATAAAAAGAAAAAAAAATAACAAACAAACAAACAATATGGCCGACCGGAAATCTCTCTGTTTGTAATCGGAAAATTCCGTAGGAACAAAAATGTTATGATTTGAAGAAATGATTCCTAATAATTATTCCTATAATGATCTTGGGTTTGTTAAAAGGATTCTGTACTATTTTTAGACTTCGTAAATACATCTTTTTAAACTGTTTAAAATATTTTCTATTTAAAAATCGGAAATCTTCGTAAATATCGAACAATTTGATTGGTCAGAATTTAAATTTTTTCTTAGCTTTTCTCTGATTGGCTAACGGAAATTTACCCACGCCATTTTGAAAAATAGATTGACGAGCCATGCTAAGAGAGTTGTTGATGTTTTGAATAAATTAGTGAATATTCGCCGGTAAAATGGATTGAAAAATAGATGCTTAACTTCAGCATGTAAGGATGGATCAGAAAAAAGCGAAAACAGGAGGAGGTTGGCGTTTTTCAAGCACAATGCCCTGGCTTTCCTGGTGTAAACAACGCCACATGCGGTAAGACTAAGAGTTTACACAAAACATCACAGTAGTTTTACTTTTTTTTAAAGTGCAATGTAGATTAATAAAGGTATAAGCTTTAATAACCAAATCATAGTAGGTCAAAATAAATGAGGATATATTGGTCTTATTGTGAAAGATAGTTTTGTTA